AACACCGGTGACAGTCCCATTAGGGTTCTGTTCATGAGCAGCCTCGCTGACCAAGGATTTCACCAATAACTTTTTGTATTGGTTGATACCCGACCTGCCGGACGTTCCCGGCTTGGCAAACCCTCGATCTCTGCTAAGTTCCTGGTTCCTCAAACTGGCGGCGAAGAGGATAGAGCAGATTTGCAGTAGTCGTCCCCCTAGCCATAGCGAAAACTCAAGGAGAGAGGAGAGAGCTCCTCTCATTTTTTTTGGTTGCCTATGTTTGTAACCTAATAATGCAGGCTTAACTAGGCCCAATAATGTAGAATTACTTTATAGTTGATTGTCACTTCAGAATTCAGATCGTATTTTGATGAACTTGAATGTTAGAAACTAGGTTTCTAACGATTTATGGAATTGGGGGAATTACTCGATCGATCAATGAGGTGATGACCTAGTTATGGATTTAGGATAAGAAGAGTTGAAGAACAAGAAGAGGGTTGAGGAAGGTTAGCTGCTGCGGAAACCTTGGGGAGAGGAAGAGAGGAAGGAGACGTGGGAGGAAGGAGAGAGACAGGATTAGGGTTGATAATTTTAATCTGTAACTGCATAATGGGAAAACCCTACTAATCACAGATTATATAGTCCTATCAATAACTGTTTCATACCCAACTAAAATGACATAACAATAGACTCCCCAATTATTCCCAGAATTCCCCAAATAATCCCCAGACATCTAAAACCGACAAATAATCCTAAATAACATAAAGCCACAATCATTGAGTTTCTAACATCCCCGCCTCCTTGAAAAATAACCTTGCCCTCAAGGTTGTAGCTCCTACTCCAGCTCCGGATGTCTTACTTCCTCAGCTTCATCCTCCGCTTCGTCTTCCCAGCGTCCCACCAGCATCATCAAGTCTGGTTTGGCACATTTTTGCCCCACTGTGAACCTCTCATCGCAGTTGAAGCACTTTCCTTCCCTTCTCTTATGCTCGATCTCTACCGGTGACAGTCACACAAATCCCTTTGGCGGCGGCCTAGGTCCCGGACGTGCTGTGGTGGTCGTGTCGATTGCTGTAGAGCCTGCCCCGGCAAGCGTGCTCCCTCCTCCGCCGCTAGACACGGTGCCACCACCCCCACTTCCAACAGCCTTCGGGAAGTGCCCAACTTGAAGAATTCCGCCTTGTATTCCGCCACTGTCCCCGTCTGACGTAGCTTAGCCAGTTGCTCTCGAGCCCACCCTTCTGACTTACCGAACTGGTACCGCAGCTCCTCTTAGAACAAGAGCTCGGTGATCAAAGTCTGGGCAGCTGCGCACGACCGCTCTAACCACTCCCACCACTACAGTGCATCACCCTCTAAATAAAAAGACGCTTGATGCGGCTTTCGCTCCTCCTTGGTGGGATGGTTCTTGAACCATCTGTCAGCTGCATAAAACCAATGGCCTGCATCCTCCTGACCATTGAATTTTGGAAAATCAATGGTAGGGGATTTGGCCCTAAACACAAGATCACCATCGTAGCCACGAGGGTAGTCGTCATACCTGTCGTAACCCGAGGCTCAGTCATGATAATTTTGCTGAACCCGCGGCTCTCTATATCGGCCCCACCCATCATCTTCCTCGAACGGGTACTCCACATACTTGTCCAGGCCGCCCTTCTGCGCCTGCCTTGTATCCCAATGTCCCGCCGGCGATCGCCATTCCGATCGGGGACCGGTGAAAGGCGGATAAGATGATCCCGACCTCTGCCGAACTCTCTCCTGGTTGCTGGTCCCCTGCTACCCGCTCCAACCGGGATCTAGTCGAGTCGGTTCAGTCTGGGCCAGTTCAGTCCAACAAGTTTCGGTCAACCCGAGCCAACCCGAACCGGTTTGACCTGCTCCTAGGGCTGTCAAAATGGTTTCGGGTTTTCGGTTTAACCCGAACCCGAACCGCCATCAATTGTATGTGGGTTCGGTTTTCCGGTTTCAACCCGAGGATGCACATGTCGGTTTCGGTTTCATAAACCCGAAACCCGATAGAGAACCCGAAAACCGACAGGCCTGATACAATCCGAGCTTCTTGTGGTTCTTGCTGCCGAAATCGGAAGACGGAATCTACGGCGAGGGGATGACGATCGAATTGTCGGAGACGTTGTGGGGAGAATTCGTCGATCTGGGTCTGAGCAGGGATCCTTATCCGGTCATGTTGAAGCTCCAGCTGTGAACCGAGTGGAGCTCCGTGGATCCTTCCGTCGACCCGGAGAAGCCAACATAAACGTTCCCTTTCAGGTTGTCGGAGAGGTCGACGTCGAGGGAGAGGAGAGGGATTTCCAGTAGACAGGATAACATACTGTTGTCATTTTCTCATATTATTTTACTTTCAATCTCTCTCCCTCTGTTAACCTAAAAATTGGGGAAAATCCCAATTTCATCTCACATCTATGAACCCGGCCCTTTCTCTCTCTCATTTATCCGTGCTTGCTCTGCTCTGCTCTGCTTTGCTAAGCTTTGCTAAACCCCTGGAATTGAATGCCTGCTTGTACCAATTGGATTGCATTACAATCAACTACTAATTTGATTCTCATGTCTCCGCCAGGCTTGTTGTCGCGGGACAGGAAGAAGGCGAGGTCGTCGCCGAAGGAGCTCGGGTTGACGTTCCCGATAGAGAAGGTGAATCTCGTGGAGAATGAAGCGGCGGACGGCGGAGCGGATTCCGGGTCGGAGAAGGGAATTGGGTCGTTGTAGATGACGGTGCCGGCGCTCGAGGTCGGGATGGTGACGTCGCGGGTGAGGCCGACGACTCCGTTCCGGAGGTAGGAGTCTCCGAGGAGGGTTCTCTATCGGGTTTCGGGTTTATGAAACCGAAAACCCACAAAGCACAATTCGGTTTCGGTTTCGGGTTGTGTGGCTCGGGTTCGGGTTTTCGGGTTTTCACGGTTTGCGGGTGCGGTTACCCGACCCGAACCGAACCGACAGGCCTACCTGCTCCGATCCATCCGCCCCGTTTCGAGCCCCACCCAAGTGGCCAATCTGCCTCTCTCGTCACGCCCCGCCCACTTTTACTCCTTCCCGGTTCGACCCAAATCTTTGTTTGCCCTGCCAGGCTCAGCTCATCTTCTTCTAGGTCCGTGCCCAGCCACCCAAGCCCGTTGGGTTCCTTGCCACGACCAAACTCAGCTCCTTGGCCCACCGAATCATGCAACCCAAAACTCACTGGGGCCCAAGGTCGTCATAGCCTGGCATTTTGCTTTTCCCCGTATTGCCGCGATCTCTTGGGCTGACGGGGTTGGTAACAGGCCCGACCCACTACCTCGCCCACGTGCGTCGTGGCCCGCACAATTCGTGTTTCCCGGCTCCACATCTGCTGCCTTCACCCCTTCGACCTGCGCCGCTTCTCCTGCCTGCGCCGCGACTGTCTTCACCGAGGACGACCCCCCGCCCGCTCCGACGCCATCGTTTTTCCCCGGAGCTTCTCCAAGGTCATGTGACGAGAGAAGAAGTGGAGGCTATCCTCAAAATCCCAATTGGGGAGGAGGGATCTGATGATTTCTGGGCTTGGAGTCTCACCCGTGAGGGAGAATTCTCGGTCAAGACAACCTACCATGCTGTTCATAAAGCCAACACAAATTTCCATTCGCCAGGAAGTGAAGAGAAGTGGAAATGGATTTGGGGACTGAATATTCCACCTAAGCTCAAATTCTTCCTGTGGAGATGCTCCAGAAACGGGTTGGCAACCAAAGAAAGACTCTTCCAACGTAAATGTGCTCCGAAACCGATTTGCCAAGTGTGCCTTAACCCTAGCGAGTCCCTTAATCACTGCCTTTTCTACTGCCCTCATGCTGTTGATTCGTGGAATTGTACTTTCCCATCTCTTCCGCTTCCTCCGCAGGGCACCCCTTTTTTCGAGTGGTTCTGCTCCCTCAAAGATACCATCCCGCAAAACTCCCTGATTCATATTATCTACCTCTGTTGGGACATTTGGAAGGCAAGGAACGAGAGCACCTTCAAGAATCGGGCACCCTGGCCCCCAAACGTGTGTCTGCAAACCTATAGAGAGCTTACCGAATGGATTGCTTGCCCGAGGCCCCCACCTCAAGGTTCTGTTTGTCCCACTCAGCTCAGGGGATCCCATCCTACTACGAGTCTACCGCCAAGTAATCACTCGATAGTGATTCAATGTGATGGGTCGTTTTTTAGCGACCCCCAGTCGGCGGCTTATGGTGTTGTTGTCGTTAACCACCATGGACAAGTGTGTGATGGGAGAGCTGAAAATCTTCTTTGTTCCACCCCGATTGAAGCGGAAGCAAAGGCTCTTTTGGAAGGAATTAAATTAGCACAAGAATATGGATCAGTGTGTATAGTTCAATCTGACTGTCAATTGCTGGTGAAGGCCCTGAACCATAATCAGTCTCGATGGCCCTGGAGATGTGCAGCTTGGAATGGAACAATGGTCAATATCCTTAGAACCAACCCAGCTATTTCGGTGAAAGAGATTCCGAGGGCTTTGAACGTCAGAGCTGATTGGGTAGCACGATCAAAAGCTAAATCAATGCTACCAGATAACTGGATTAATATTCTTGATCTAATTTCTGTTCTCCTCTAAAATTGTAATGTCTTTTGCGTGTTCTTTCGTATGGTGGAATAAAAGTTGATATTTTTCGTAAAAAAAAAGCTTCAAAAATTAGTAAATTACAAAAGTAATCCATTTGTATGAAAAGACAAAATTGATTGATAATTATTTATTCAAGAACCCCGTACATTATACATAGCCAGAAGGCCTGAGCTGACTCGGAGTCAGTCACAGTCCCAGCCAAAATTCGTATCATTATCCACAACGTAAAAGGCATAAGCACCCCTGACCTTATTTACTTAAAACCCCCCGACCATCCCACTTATCTACCATTCTAGGCACCTACTTTACCGACTTAAACTTTTACCTCTGCCCCCTGATTCGATCGATTCCACCCAGTCCCACCGCCTTCCCTCCGATTTCTTCACATCTCTGATCTGATCTGAGTTCATCGTCCTTCAACACAAAGATGGCGAGAGGTTCTTCTCAGTCCCAATCATCCACCTCAACCGGCGGCGCCGCCCGTCCCGCCGTCACAGCCCCTCGGGGCTCCGCTGCCGCCACCGCCGGGATGCGCCGACGCCGGCTCGGAGGTCCTTCGTCCGCTGCTTCTTCTGCCTCGGAAGGCGGCGTAGGAAGTTCCGGCGGGAACATGCTCCGATTCTACACCGACGACGCTCCCGGGATCAAGATCTCCCCCACCGTCGTCCTCGTCCTCAGCCTCTGCTTCATCGGCTTCGTCACCGCCCTCCACGTCTTCGGCAAGCTCTACCGCAGCAAGCTCGTTCCGCCGGGAGCCCAGTAAGAAGTTACTTCCCCCGCCGATAACTTACTCTGTTGACTTTGTAAGTTCGAATCTGTTGTGTGTTAGTAGTGGGTTTTTCTCTCGGTTTGTTTTGTTTTCCCCCCTTTTGTTGCCGAATCGGAGACATTAGGGTTTTTTTTTACGGCGTTTCGATCGATCGGTTGAATTTCCGAACAAGTCGCTTGTAGAAAGTTTTGGATCTTGTGAATGTTTGAGACTCTTTAATCACTCGTGTTAATTACTATGATTACGTCAACTGTGGAGAGATTTAGAGTTGACTCGACTTTCGGGCCGGCGTGGATGATCGAATGGCCCCTTGCTTGCTTTGCTTGTACAATATTGCTTTCGACGCATAACAGTTCGAGGATCTAAGGAAGTGACGATGACTCGATGAGTTCTATTCTCTACCTATAATTTGTTCTGCTAGGAAGCAGAGGAATCTTTGATCTATCTTCTTCATTGTTTGAAGCGATTTCTAGGTTTCCCGCCCTTTCTCTACCATAATCAAAATCATTCCAGTTAGGTTCGTTTTGAGTAGGGCTGCAAATGAGCCAAGCTACTCGCGAGCAACTCGAGGCTCGAATCGGGAAAAACTCGTTCGAAACTCGATTCGTTTACTGACGAGCCAAGCTTGAGCCTAGCTTTGTTCAGCTCGTGAAGCTCGCGAGCTAGCTCGACTCGGTGGCTTGTTGAGCTCAACTCGTGAGTTGGCTCATTTAGAGCTCGTGATATGTCTCAACATTGTGGTTTGAGGGCCAACTTGATCACTGACTTATGGACTAATCGATCTAATTTGGACTTTCATAATTCATAGGATTGTTAAATTATATATCTCACATCATGTGAAGTTTAACATGTTGAACAAGTAAGAAAATATACCTTGTTTAGTTGTTTTTAATTCTATAAAGAAATTATGTACAAAATTGTTTCGATACTATGAAATAACATAATTTGAACTAGTTAAAATTTATTAACTAAACAATATGACACCTAAAAGTTATAATATAAGATTGATTAATGTTTAACATTTAATTATTTTTTTATCGCTACATCAATCACATGTACCATACACGACATACAAAATGAATGTATTAAATACGATCTAAGAATTTAGTAAACAAGCCTAGCTCGAACTCGACTCGACTCGGCTCGCTAATAAATGGCTCGGGCTCGAGCTCAGCTCATTTGTTAACGAGTCAAGCTCAAGCTGGGGTAAAACTCGGCTCAGCTCGGCTCATTTGCAGCCCTAGTTTTGAGTCTAGCTTCAATGGATAATTGGTTCCTTCATCCTTGCTTCTACTAGATGTCCAGGAGTACAAAGTTTACATACTAAACAAGTCTATGCATATATTAAGATGTCGAGTTATTTGATCAACTTGTTATTGATATAATGTTAGACTTATATGATCGAGATATCTTCTATTCGACTCCTGGTAACCTTTCCTAGTAAACACATGATTTTCGATGTCTGGACAAAGACTAATAGCCAACCTCTGGATGATGAGGAGGTAGCAATCGTACAAATATGTTAGACAAGCTTCGATGTTGCTGCCATATTAGAGTGTTTTTTCTAATCGAAGTAAAACACAACATTCACTACCTTTTTAGATCTAGGTTGGTATTGATGTCCTAATGCTATAAGGTCTGCAATTGGATTTTGCTGTCTTTTCGAGAAACTCTATTATTAGTTGTGTTGCAAAAACAATATTTATGGATGGGAGACTACAATGTATGACATGCCTCCTCAAAAACTACCAAAACCAAATTGGTCATCAGAACAGTCCATCTAAAGTGAAGAGGAACGAAATCGAGTTATCTTTGAATAACAAAAAACTTTGAATAACCAATTTGGTTGTCACTTCAGTTGTATTCAAATTTGGAACAATCCTTGCTATAACTTAACGATGGAGAGTATCTACATTAATAGTACGTTCATCATTCTAACACAATTAAAAGGCATTTCTACACAATCATATAACTGCTATAAAATCAATTTCCGATAAGAGAAATTTTACAATACTATATAGTATTGGTGCTATAAGTTTTTGTCTTTATGGTACAACTTAAAATTGTACCTTTAACGTTATGGTACAATTTGAACTTGTACCTATACGTTTTGTACAAATTCTTTTATGGTACAACTTAAATTTGTACCTTTATGTGATGGTACAATTTCAAGTTGTAAAGTTGTACCATAACATAATTGTACAAATTTCTTTATGGTACAACCTAAACTTATACATTTAATGTTATGGTACAACTTCAAGTTGTACATTAAAGCACCAATACTATATAGCATAGTAAAAGTGCTCTTTTCGATAAATCTATGAATTGCACGTTTTATACCAGCGTAGGAATGGTGCATAAACTCATTCCTCTTCAAACTAACCAATCTTTGCTCCTTTTGGATTTCTCCTTGAATTATCACCTCTGCACTCAATTTCAATTTGTCCAGTCAACGCCTATATATAAACACACTCAGTGGCAGATCCAGGGGTGGTCATCTTGTGCTATGGCCCAACCCTCCTCTGAATTCGAAGCTAGTATAGTCCATATAAATTTTTCGATTTTAGACATTCGACTCAGTGTATTTTATAATAAGATTGTATGTAACTTGAAAAATGGTATAGATGAATATATTCAAACCCCTAGTTTAAATTTAGCCTAAAAATTCTATTCTTGATAATTTTGGTAAAAAAAATATTGAAACCTAAAATTCTAAAAGTTTAAAACGTAAAAGAGTAAAAGAAATATTGGATTTGTTCCCTTGAAAAATTACTAGAGCAGCTAGTGGAAATCGTGATGGACACACAATACAAATTGATTAGTTGATAGATTTGTCTAGTGTTTATGTTGCCCGTTTCAACGGCTACTATGAAGAGAACATTTTCAACAATGAAACATGAGAAAACTAATTTGTGCAACAATTGAGAGATGAGTTTCTTGTCGGTTGCTTAACTATTTTATTTGAAAGATACTGTATTATTGGTATGGATATAGACTCCATTATTGATGAATTCGCTAAATTTAAAACTGTCGTGTACAATTGACATGGTAAAAAAAAACTACGGTTGTTATATTTTTTTACGATTCCTAATTTTCTAATGAAATGCGGCACAATGCTCTACTATATTGTGGATCCACCGCTGAACACACTCACACCCAACTTCAGCTTGCAATTGCCATTCTCACACACCCAACTATGAAGACGATGCATCATCAGCAGCATTCATCACTCTTCTCCTTTAGTCCAAAGTTGCTACTCGGAAAAGGAAAACAGTTTCCCAACTGGTTTAGGAACGAATTCGTATGTAACACAAAATTAGCAATGCGTCAAAGTGGAAAACCCAGGCCGATTAGGAGACGGAAACAGAGTCTCCCGTTCATATACATACACGAACGACAACTGGAGAATTCATTATAAGAGGGAACGAACCAAACCGCAGATTAAGATATAGCTAAGCTAATCACTGTGTTCTCTGTTTCTACTTTTGTGTGAAATTTTGCATCCCTTCGGCGCTCAAGGCTATACAAACGTCCGTCGTGAACAGAGACATACAAATGTCGGCAGCCAAGAATGAGCGCGACGGCGGTGAAGACAATTCGTTCGATGAACTTTGGAGTCACGTGGAAGAGAATTTGCGGCTCCAATGCAAGGATGAAAGCATCTACTTTTCCGGTCATGACGGCAGCCGAATGGAGACATCGGAACCGGCAGCTGCACGGAGCAGGCCGGTGATCACAAGTCCATCACCGCAGCAACGAGTCGACGGCGGCTTCGAGAAACAGCGTACGCCGCGCGTCCCGGAGGGATCTGGTGGCCGGGCCCGATCGGTGTTTATCTTTCCCCCTTTTCTGTTACCTGATGTGTTTAATTTTATTCGGTCTCGCAGTTAGTTAATTTAAATTTTAATTAAGGAGACGATTAATTATAATAAAAATATAATATAGTTATTACGTTCGAAATCCTTGAGTTTTCGTTATGTGCTACTACATATTTACACATTTACCTATGCGTAATTAAGAGCTCAAGAGTTGAAGAAGCATTCGCCGGCGACGACGGCAAAATCTGAAAGCTATACAGGCCGGCCAAAGTCTCGCTGCCGGCCGTCAACTTCGACCAGTGACGACCGGCTTCTTCGTCGTGGGCCTCGTCGCGGATCCATCCAAACGAAACGGCAACACTTTAAACCTTCCCAGGCCCAAAGAGCGAAATAATCATCTGCGATGAAGCCCAATATCATCCACGAAAGCCCGTGCGGCGCGGAGAGCCTGAATTTGGTTACTTGAGATCGTCCATAGATAGGATTATCTATTTATCACATAACTAGATTGTACCCCGGCCCGTTGGCCGGTTGCAATACGATAAAATAATCAACAAAAATTTTAAAGTAGTTTTTAGGGAAGTCAAACTATTAAATTGTCGAGAAAATAAAAAATAGCATCTATCATACATATTACTACATTGTAATCAGTACTTTTGTAGATTTTGGTTGAAATTAAAATGATAAGACTCGTGTAAGGGAATATCAACTCATAGTAAATTTAAAGAGAGTATTATAGGTATTCCAAGATGACTGGTATCACTTTTTTGCCTTCAAAAGGAGGTGTTGTTCTTTCACGATTTTTAATAGCTTTTAAATTGTCAATTTAGTATTGAATAAAATATAAATTAGTCTAAATAAAATGAATTTTAGGAGTTGTATCAATCATAAGATTCAGACTGATTTATACCTTATTAGCATACTTTCAATTCATTGAGTAATCTTTTCTCAAGCAACCATAGAAGATTGATCTTGTAATGTTGTAGTAAGGTTGTTGAATAATATTTTCTCAAGCAGCCCTAATAGCTCGAACTCATTTTTTATCATGAAATTAATCAAAATAAAATAATTAATATGCCTCTTAACATTTCAACGTAATAAGAAACATTTTTAATGTGGTAAGAATGTTATCTATAGAAAAATTCAATCAGTTTAGAAATATCAAGATTAGGTAGA